GCTGAAGATATCACCAGGGAGAGGTCAGTGGGTGGGCAGGGGTTGCACAACCCTCAGGAGAGCACTGCTGAAGATGACAAGGGACCACGGTAGCTTCCTGTAGAGTTTTAAAGCTTCTGTTTCAGGCTTGAGGAGACTCAGCTATGGCCCAGGTGGATCCCCAGCTCTATGTCTGCAGCACCTCTCACCTGTTAGGAGGGGGCCCAGCCTTCATGCGTCCTCCCACCAGAGCCAGGAAGTCTGTTTTGAATTCTGTTTTGATGATGTTGTTCTCCACTTCTTTTTCAGCATTCCCTGTTCTTCCTTGCTGGACCTGTGGAAGGTAATACATGACACACAGGTTTAATGCCCTTACTTTCAACTGAAGGGAGCATCAAAGACTGACCCTCAGCAAAGGACAAGGGCTCCCCTGAGGAACAGTCACAGGGCTCTTGCAAACCACCTCTTCTTCAGTCATGGCAGCAGACATTTGTGTAAACCAGCTGGCTACCCCAGCCTCAGCCTGCTGTCTCCCAAGTCCAAAGGTTTAATAATCTCATATCCTTTTTCATGTAGCCCTTAAGTCAAAAGTAGAAACACTAACACTTGTTCTATGGACTCTTTGGCTGAAGTTCTAACAGGTTTGGGCCACCTGATGCATTCTGCAAAAGCTGATGACCAAACCAGTCTCCAAACACAAAAGGCAACATGACTGCAGCAGTGAACACCAACAAGCAGAACACCCGTGGGTGCCCAGCTCCCCTCTCTACACCTCTCACAGGCACAGAATCTTCCCACCAGACCTCCCTATAGCTGGGCAGCCTCAAAGACAACTGGAGATTCACTCAGGTCTTGCTGCTGTGGTGGTTCAAACCTGCCAGACAACTGCTCATTCCAAAGAAAAAAGATTTTTAGCAGAGAGATTTAATCTTTAAAGTACATTTGTGTTACTCAGCACTGAGAGGCACACAGGGAAGTTAGGAATGAAGGAATCTGCTCTGACACTCTCACCTCTGCCATTACAAAAGCAAGGCCCAGTTTGACTGTGGCCACGTGCAGGGGTCACCCATCACCTACCGTGATCTTGTTTTCAGTGCTGATGGGGGGAGCAGGATCCAGCCCCAGCTGCAGCCGCCGCTGCTTCTCACAATACGCCTTCCACGTTTCTTCATTGAAGCCATAATTAAAGTAATCCGAAAGATCAGCACCTGCCAGGGGGAGCAGGGGTCAGCACAGGCACTCCAGCAGACTTGCTTTCTCCAGTGGTTTCCTTCCCTGTTCATTTGAGCAGTCAGAGGAGAAGGATCTCCTCCAGAGCACAGCCTACTGTTCACTCATTGCATTTTTTCAGACTGGTTTCTTGCAGTCATCCAAACGAGCTGAGTGCTGGGGAGAGCAGAGGAAGGGAGGTTCCAGCCCCCACCACAAACAGGGGATGGTGCCACAGAACCTTCTTCTGGGCAGAGCTAAGCCAACAAGTTCCACTCCTAACCTTTGCTCTTCTGGAATTCTGCAACTCACCCATTTTTGTGAAACAAAGCTGAAGTGGAGTATTTATTGATCTCTCAGAGTAAAGGAGTAATTACAGTCCAGTTGTGATCCTATCTAGAGCCTTCAGAGATCATCATCTTACTTGACACTCTTCTGTGAGATGTGCCAGTGCAGCATCAGCACTTCTGAGTAAGAGGTGGCCACAAACTGCTTGCCAAGAAAACCCAGCTACCTTTGACCCTGCACCCTCCTCTGCACAGCACAGCTCCCCAGAGGAAGCATTACAAAGCACAGCCCAACCCTGCTGGGGTGTCCCTCCAACATCACCCCGCCTCACCCAGGGGTTCCCAGACAGACCAGCTCTAAACCAAGGAGCTGACACATGAGGGCCAAGCAAAACACTCTGAGCTTGGATCTCTATGGTGAGGTTTCTGTTTATCTTCTTGGCAGGCCACTCTTCCTACTGGACCACCCAAACATGGCTGATATCTATTTTATCAGCCTGGATTTCAGCCCTCTGTCAGGTCCTTCACACCATCTTTCTTCTTCCTCTCCACCACTTAGCAACTTGCTGAGCAATTCACTGGAGAGGATATAAACCTGAAAGGCTCTTGAGTAACAAGCTACTTGCCATCTAAAGAAACCTGCAGGCCACACACCTCTGCAGACATCTTCCCTCTGTTTGTACTTCAACTCTGGTTTAAGGCCAGCTAGCTTCATTTTGGGCCAGGGATGTGGTCAGCATGACCACAATGATTTCCATGGCTTATCTCTGAACTTCACTTCATTGTTTCTTTCTGACTGACTCTTTCTAGCCCACTCTTTCTCACCTCACAACAGGAAATGTCCTGCAGAAGAAAGGCTACATCTTGAATAGTAGCTACCACAGATGTAACATCAGAGAGCACTTCAGTGTAGTTATTAGCAGAGGATATAAACCTGAAAGGCTCTTGAGTAACAAGCTACTTGCCATCTAAAGAAACCTGCAGGCCACACACCTCTGCAGACATCTTCCCTCTGTTTGTACTTCAACTCTGGTTTAAGGCCAGCTAGCTTCATTTTGGGCCAGGGATGTGGTCAGCATGACCACAATGATTTCCATGGCTTATCTCTGAACTTCACTTCATTGTTTCTTTCTGACTGACTCTTTCTAGCCCACTCTTTCTCACCTCACAACAGGAAATGTCCTGCAGAAGAAAGGCTACATCTTGAATAGTAGCTACCACAGATGTAACATCAGAGAGCACTTCAGTGTAGTTATTAGCAGGGTTAAGTACTGTGATGCTTTTCTCTTCAGGTGGGCAGGAGATACCAAACCCACAGCACATTATTGCTTCCAAAAGCAATACTTCCTCAGCATAGCAGTGTTACAGGGGAGAATTGTTGCTGAGAAGAGGCAGGTAGATGTTTTGCTTTGGGGAACATTTCATCAGAGCATGTTTAGTGAAAGTAGCACAGCAAAAATATGGTTCTCTTTGGTTCCTTCATCTGCTTTTCTCTCAAGCTCAGATGAAAAACAGAAGTTTATTTCCAGCATCCTACATCTGTCATGCAACAGTTGCTTGTAAGTAGAAATCTTCCCAATATTAATCAGGAGGACAAAAGAGCCCATGTACTGGTCCTACATTTGTCATGCAACAGTTGCTTGCAAGTAGAAATCTTCCCAATACTAATCAGGAGGACAAAAGAGCCCATGTACACACTGAAACCTGCTGTGCAGGCTGTCTGCTCTAGGTAATGTTGTCCAGAAGAAAAAAGTGGGGACTGCTCACTCACCATTACACACCTAAAGGCAGCATCTAGCAAAGAATTAGGTAATGAGCTTTCCTGAAAGAAAACTCCTAGCTGTTCTTGTCCAAGCAGACAGTGCTGGGTCACAGTGAGACAGAACAAGCTGCTCCATGTGGAAAGGAGACCACACATCATCAGCAGCCAAACACTGATCCTACTCAACTGACCTTGAAGTCAACAAATCCTATCATATTCATACCATAGAATCGTTTGGGTTGGAAAAGACCTCTAAGATCATTGTGTCCAACAACTGACCCAGCCATGATCCTCAGCACCACATCTCCATAGCTTGGAAACCCCTCCAGGGGTGGGGACTCCACCACTGCCCTGGGCAGCCTGGCACAGCCCTGGGCAACCTTTGCAGGGAGGAAACTGTTCCTTATGCCCAACCTAAATCTCTCCTGGTGCAACTTGAGGCCCTTTCCTCTTGTCCTATCACTTGTTCCTTGGGAGCAGAGCCCGACCCCCCCCTGGCTCCAGCCTCCTGTCAGGAGCTGTGCAGAGCCAGAAGGTCTCCCCTGAGCCTCCTTTGCTCCAGGCTCAGCACCCCCAGCTCCCTCAGCTGCTCCTCCCCACACTTGGGCTCCAGACTCCCACGTATCAATACAATATTTTCTGGAATGGGGAACTAATAAACTAGATTATATTTTTAATAGTTATTCCCTTTAGGGAATTTAAATTAACAGAGTACATCCAACCCAATCTTAGGCAGAAGTGTGGCTTGATCAATCAGAAAATGTCACTGACTGACTAGAACAGCACCTGAAGCTGAGCAATACACACATCTCCACCTCCCTGTTCCCTGGCAGCAATAAACAGATAGAAATGACATGTGAAGATAAAACACAGACAGCTAAAACTGCACAAAATATTTACCACGAGAAACTGTGAGGCCCCACCTGGTTTCCTCCACGGTTTGTCTTCAAATGAATCTAAATCCACTTCTATAACAGGCAATCCATTTATATTCCCTGCAGCATCTAAGTCAATACCTTTGGGCTGCAACTTGGCTTTGGAGAGAGAGAGAGAGAGAGAAACTGTTACTACTTTTAATGCAATGCCTTTAATCCACTAATTTGCTGAGCAAATTACTCCAGTTAAAAAATAAAAGCCCTGCTGTGAATTCATTGCTGGCTTTATAGCAGGTAGGTAACCACAATCAACTTTTTATTAAAAACTGCTTTAGTCACTCTGTAAATAAACAGGCAGAGTGTACAGCACTTGCAGGTGAACTCTACCCAGACTGGTACCACAGACAGAGAAAATTATTAGAGCACACATGAAATTTACCCCAAATTAAAAAACAAATTTCTCCTAGGCAAAATATTTTTCCCTCCCAAGACACACACATTTTCTCCTAACAAGAGACTTTTTCAGGATCAGCCTGAAGTTGACTGTGTACTAACTGCAGTCAGCAAAAAATCTGTTTGGTGCAGGACCCTCAAGGGGAATTTTTCTTATCTTCTTAATCAGAAGTCACAGGCAAAAAGAAATTCATGGAAATAGATGAAGCCCATGAAAGGGCAGTCTCCCATATGGGGGAGGATAGAAACCAAACCTCTACTACACAAACTGAATGGAATGATGGGGAAAATTTCACCTGCAGACACCTGCAAGGCTGACACTGAAAGCCAGAGGTGTTTCTTTTTGTATCTTATACTGCCAGTAGCATAGTACACTGGCCACAGAGTTAAAAGTTCTTCTCCATACAATCCACAACATTTAGCCCCAAGTGCAACAATATATTTTACAAAAATCCTGGGTTTTTTTTTACTATAGAAGTAATAATGTATTTTTTCCAGTTTAAATAGAATGATAACCAGCATGCTCAGTGATGTCTAATTAAATCATCCCACTGCACCCTGGCCCAGAGACCATCCTGAGGAATGCTTATGTTTAGGAAACTCACTCACTACCCCTAGTTTAGGTTAAGGTGCAGTAATCTGTCATCCTTCCAGAGATGAAGCTTGGCAGCTGCTCCAGCTGTCAGTGAAATAGTGCAGAAGGCAAAGGCTCCAGCCAGCAGCCATACCTGAAGCAGATGCTCCATAGCCTCTACCCGTTTTTAAGTTTAGATTCATAGGAGTTCCCCTGTATGGAAAAGAATCACTACATTGGTATTCTGAACAAATTATTTGGTGGAAGAATCTCACACAAAACATATTCAAGCCCTCATATCCTTCAGAAGATGTTCTGCTCACTCGAGTGTGTTCATGACTATGATTTTTAGTGCTAAATCTCAACACCTTAGTATTGAGACTCACTTGGCACCTAATTTCCTCCAACCCTACAGAAACACAGCAGACATACT